TCCTATTTGTAGTGGAGATGAGTGGTACCCGGTGGGGTCTTCTGCTGTTGTAGCCCATCTGCCTCAAGGTTGTGCGTGTTGTGGCTTCACAAATGCTTTGCTGCATACCTCGGTTGTAACGAGTGGTTATTTCAGTCAAAGTTGCTCTTCTATCAGCTTGAATCAGTCGGCCCATTCTCCTCTGACCTCTAGCATCAACAAGGCATTTTCGCCCACAGGACTGCCGCATACTGGATGTTTTTCCCTTTGCACACCATTCTTTGTAAACCCTAGAAATGCTTGTGCGTGAAAATCCCAGTAACTGAGCAGATTGTGAAATACTCAGACCGGCCCGTCTGGCACCAACAACCATGCCACGCTCAAAATTGCTTAAATCACCTTTCTTTCCCATTCTGACATTCAGTTTGGAGTTCAGGAGATTGTCTTGACCAGGACCACACCCCTAAATGCATTGAAGCAACTGCCATGTGATTGGTTGATTAGATAATTGCATTAATGAGAAATTGAGCAGGTGTTCCTAATAATCCTTTAGGTGAGTGTATGTTCCACTTTCCATAAGACATCACAGGTAGACAGCAGTTCCCACGCACAGAAGAAACTGCAGAGACCAGAGCAATCATCTGGGAACTTTCAGGCCCCAGTGTGGTTACTGTCCCTTTTTTGTGGGAGAACAAACGTCAATTTCAATGGCTGCTAATGGAATTCACAGGTGTTGTACAAGAAAATACATTGGAATTAAAACAAAAAAACGGTAGAAGTTTAAGCTAAAATTGGAGATCAGGAGAGTAACACACGTACTTTGGCAGCTGATGACAGACATTGGTATTTTGATAAACTTCACGGTATTGGTGGTCAGTGTCCTTTAAACTGATAATCGTAACGGATTAATGATCCCACTTCATGGCCAGAGGTGCCGTATCCTGACATTTCTAACTACATCATCGAGTCTCCAGATATTGTCAGTTTCTGTCATCTCTGACTTTTATGTCTAGAGAGTTATATGTACAGTATCTGCCTCAGTCTAAGTTGTTTACTTTGCTGCCCTTAATGTGTGGATCCAGTTTAGCAGTTTCTTTATTGTATATCCTATTGCATACAATTATTGACAATTAAAAATGGTAATTATATAATGTAGACTATTATTAGTGACAAAGTGGTTGCTGCAGACATAAATATCGAAGTTCCATAGGTTTCCTTCAGGACCCTCCCTCTGAATAGCCTGAAGCCATAAGATTAGACTTTTGCCCTCCCTATCTCTACTCAGTAGCAAGAAGAACCAAATGTGTGTTTGCAGGACACAACACAGCAAAATGTTGGCGTGCTGAAAACCTCCTATTTGCTGGCAGTCAGTTTTTTGTTTTCCCAAAAAGAGGACTACTTCCCCCAAAACTACTTCAAGCTGATATTACATTGTTTGAGTCTGTATGTTAGTCTTTGAAAACATGGATCCAGGTAGACTGTTTTGGGTGCAGCATGAATCCAGATGTTCTTCTCTCATTACAAGTAGACTGTTTGGGTGGAGCACCAATCCAGATGTTCAGCTCTCATTACAGGTAGACTTTGGGTGGAGTATAAATCCAGAGGTTCATCTCCCAATACAGATGGAATGTTTGGGTGGAGCATGAACCCAGAGGTTCATCTCCCATTATGGGTAGACCATTTGGGTGGAGCACAAATCCAGATGTTCATCTCCTGTTACAGATAGACTGTTTGGGCAGATCAGGGTTAGGTCTGCTTAGGTCATTCCTAAAGAATATGACGGGGCAACACCATGCCCTACTTCCACTGTTGTGGAACAGACCCTATCTAGATGTTCCCCCGTGGCAATCCTCACTGCACACAGAGCTCCATGCTGCAGTCTCCAGAGCCCCCTTCTTTCCAGGAACCAGGAGCTCCTCTCCCAAAATGCAGAAGGTGCATTGTGGGATGCATCATCCTATGCAGACTGCGCCAAAGTTACTTGGAGAAGAACACTGCAACCTTGCTAAGGGGTGTGGTTCTAACAGAGGGTAGCCAATGGAGGGGGAGGGGGGGCATTTACATGGGGCATTTAGGCTTAGCATTCCAGAATGAGGCTGAACCGCACAGCAGGATGAAAACGCTGAGCAAAGCCAGGTTTGTTCAGGTGAGACAGTGTGCTGAGGTGGCACGGCTGTCAGCGTGGATGCTGCTTTGGGGAACAGGGAGGAATGACACTGAAAATACCACAGATGCCTCCACAGATACACTTGTTACAAGTTGAGGGTAACCACAGGAAAGGGGACAGGAAAAAAAAACCCTGACTTAAGTAGGGGAATTTGTTTTTTTTTACCTGCCTACTTTCAGAATGTGACCTTTAAAAAGTCCCCGGAAAACACTGTGGCTTGAATCAGGACCCAAAAGGAAATGCGGATGATTTCACTGATTGCATTCAATCTGCAGCCAGCTCTGTTTTGGTTCCCAGGGCAACGGAGCGGCACCTTTTGTGTTTGAGAAGGGGGGGGGGGGCATGCTCGGGGTCCTGCAGCCACAACCCCCCCAGGGCTCACCTGAGTGTAGGTAGGTGGGTGGGCATGGACGTTACTGAGCCTGTGCATACACAGCTCTGGTGGGTGTGGGTGTGTGGGGGGGAGGTGTATGAGAACCGCAGCGCCCGGATTCAACGTTTTCCGTGTTTTGTCAGAACAATCGGGCTTCAAATTAATCACTGCTTCCCACGCCTGATTACTCCCCCAGCACATCAAGAGCGCACATCATCAATATCATGCTCAAGCCGTTAGCTGACTGCTGGCTGACTGAGATCTGTCTTCTATTTCAACACTTTTATTGGTTTCAATGTCAGGGAGCGATCAACTAAGGCACCCCCCCCCCCACCACTGCCCAACCACACCCCTGTTCTACCCACCCAGACCTGGGGGGTAGGCAGCTGCCTCAGCTTTCCTGTAACCTGTGACCTTGTGCCAGTGATCAAGGGCAGAGTTTGACACATGACCTGGTTTTCATACACACCAGTGGTTCCCAGCAACCTGTGGGAGCTCATCACAGTGGGGCTACCGTTATGTGGAGCCATCATTGGAGACAGATGAATCTCTGCAATGGGGCTATCACCGGAGACATCACTGCAGTCGGGCTATCACCGGAGACATCACTGCAGTGGGGCTATCACCGGAGACATCACTGCAGTGGGGCTATCACCGGAGACATCACTGCAGTGGGGCTATCACTGTTACTGTTATAAAGGGCTACAAGACATAAAATCTCCCTAGGGGGTGTTACTGTTCTAAATGGCTATCACTCATAACAACTCTCTGGTTGTGGTGGTTGGGGTGGGGGGGGGGGGAGTTTTATCAATGCTGTCCCTAAAAACTGTCCTGCAGGTGCTGAAAGTCACCCCAGTTTGGACAGCACCCATTCCTCACCAGCAGGCGAGTCACATAGCTGGCTCCAGTCTCCAACTTCCTAAAATAAGCACTAAATGATCATGTCTGTATGTACACACCCACACGGACACACAGAGACCCACACGGCCACGGGATTCTCCGGGATTCACCTCTCCACCCTCCCCCCACCATTGTTCTCAAGGGAGACAGCTTCAGCGAATAGGAATTACGCAGCGGGTGGGGAGGGTGGGGGCATTTTTCTTTCAGATGAGAGCTCATCTGCACTCAGACAGGACCGGCAAGCAGAACTGCCAGAGCCAGGGCTTCCGCACCCATATTTGGACATATCAGCTTCCGCTCCCCCCCCCCAGCGATATCCATACTGCTCATTTGCAGTCATGTCATGCTTGCTATGTAGCGTTAGCGATGAACGGGGGAGATCCTCTGAAGACACCCAGCACAGTGCCAGAACACGGTGCTTTAACAGAGGGCTACACAGACCCACAGCCGCCACTATTCAAAGAACCAATGGGCAATGATGGTCCCTTGTGCAAGCTCAAGGTCGATGTCAAGGTCAACGCCAAGCTTCAGTGCAGAAAACATAGCTCCTGGCCCAGTACTACTCTCCATGTGAAGAAAAATGAGGGTGGTGTGTGGTTCTATGCCTGTGATCAGAAGGTCACCAGTTCAAATTTTGAGGTCAGCAGAATGATTTCAGTGTTGAGCCCTTGAGCAAGACCTTTGACCCTTCGTATGTTGCTTTGGATACAGCATCTGCTAAATAAATATAACGTAAACTTGAGTAATAACGACAGAAAGTTTATTACTACAATGAAATTACAGCCCATGAAGTACTCGTGTGCTTTTAACATCATAGATGTGTGTGTGGTCGCAGTTGCCAGTGTCCTCGGACAGGATTTCAAGGACAGCTCCTCTGCTGTGATTTAAGGCAGCATGATTAATATAATGACAAAAAGTCTGAAGAGCCGCAGGTGTATCATTCCATCACACTGAAGCTGTCATCTCTACACCTGTCCCACCCCCACCAAGCACATCCCCCAGCCCTACGGACACAATTTTTCAGAAACGACTGATTTCCCCGCGATTCATGGAGATCACATTCAGTTGCAGAATCACCCCCCAAAATGCTGCTTCCGGCCGTCTGCCTTACAGCAGCCTGGCTCTGCCTGCTCCTCAGGCTCCTGATTCCCGGCAGACAATCAATGTAGGAATGGCCATTTGCACTGTATTAAAAACGGATATTAAAAAAGTGGTATAAATTAATTTTTTCTTTACATTGTCTACTTTATCCTTTGTTGTATTTAATCCTTCCTAAATGATCCTTTTCTGTATTTATCCCTTCTGTGATAATGGTCACAGAAATTTTCCCGAAGAGGGATTCTGTCTTGTCTCATCTCATCTTCGGTGTGCGTTCATGGTGCCATAACAGAGGGTGGTCACCCTTCTGGGGCTCGGGGATCCTCCTACGGCTGATTCTGACATTACAGTCACCTTGCAAGGACAGGAGGTTGAATCAGGGAGGGAGGGACCGCCAGAAAACAGGTTTGGGTACATATTCTCCTGACCATCTCTCTCTCTTTCTCTCTGTCTCGCTTCCTCTCCCCCCCCCCCCTCGGACAGCTGCACCCACTCCCTCACCATCTGGGCCACACTATGCCCACTCCGCCAGCGCAGAGTAGCGAAACGGCCAGACTGGAAGCGCCATCTTGAAGGGGGTCCAAATTAGCCCCAAGCTTTCGCTCTGCTGATCCGGTTTGGCTCGGCCCGGCTTGTGCCGTCCGTTATGATAAATTACATCATCACTCTCATCAGCAGCGTATCCAGGTCAGGATCGTCCTTCATTATGATCGTTATTTTTATCATGATAATTGATCAAGTTCACATTTCTTATTCATGTTATTTATTTGAGCAAACCTTGGCCCCACCTCTGTCGCTGAGACCCCCACCCCCCACCATGCCAGAGACGACTTTAACACAGGAGGCTGCGGTCTGCAAATGCAGAAGTGCAACCTGACCACCAGAGGGCAGTCACGGGAGTTCATTCTAACTGGACCTCAGAATTTTAACAGTGCTGGGCTGTGATGAGCCAGCAGGGATTACGAAGGTAAAATCACCAGATGTGACAGGAGTTACGGGCATAAGAGGTCCTTTGGATTCTTATTTCCTCACAGGAACATTTTTAGTTTAATAAAATAAACCTGTTATTCATAACAAATAAATAAAGCCACTCGAATGTGGAGCTCCCCATTGCCTCACTGACCTTTCCTGCCTTTTCACCATCACACAGTCGGGGGGCGCCACTGACACATCCTGACACATTTTGTCCTGCTTATCGTGGGCAGCAAAGTGCAGATGAGACTGCTGGACATTGAGAAGCGCGGCGGCTACCCCCATCTGCGGGGTGGGGGGGGGAGGGGGTTACGCATTTAGTGTCACATATATACCCCTGGTTTTTCAAATCAATTTCACGCTCTCTTAGGCAGAGGTAGCAGGCCAGTGCCTCTGAAATCCATCTTTTCCAGTTAGTTGATTGGTCAAGGAATGGAGCAGAAGAGCAGCTTTCATGAAACATTAAAGAGGAGAGACAGAAGCAAAGGATCACAGCGTCCTGTGCACCGAACACACACACGCCGAAACGTAAAGATACAGCAACACATGAGCTCTGTGTCGCGCCCTTTGTTCTGCCTTCTCAGCGAAAGCTGCGCCTGAGTCCCTCTCTCACACACACAGCACAACCTTTAGGTTCAATCCTCTCTCCTTAATCCACTTCCACCCCAGTTGGTAATTCTCCTGATGTTGGCCAGCTGTTTTTTCCCCTGCAGCGCACACACACACACACACAATCCCAGGCACAGCGCTAAGTCACCATCTGTTATAGCAGAGACCAAAACAAACTGAAATTGTACAAAAGGAATAACAGTTAGAATCTGCTTTTTCCACATCGAAGGACATCAATGACATGGCAGAAGGCGGCTGGGCTTAGCCCAGGTCAGGCCAGCGCCCCCTGCTGGAGCACACGGGCAGGCCTTTTACTTCGCAGAAGATAACCAGAGCAGGCAGGACCAGCCACAAGGCCTGTTGTGCTGGGGGGGCATTGAGGATGCTTGGGGGGGTGGCAGGAACAAGGAGAAAGGAGAGAACGGGGACGCGACAGGCAGAACATGTTCCTGGTGGTAGTGTAATATGACAGGAACAGAAATTCCGGAAAGTACTGGTGAGTAATGGCACTAACCCC